AGTTGGGTTTGACTTTTTGTTTTGTTACTACTTTCTGAATCTTTAACCTCAAACAAAGAAGGTAGATTGGTCAGATTCCTAACTTGCTGGCCAGGCCACAGGAGCCGTAACTGACCTCTTTTATTCGCTAATGGCATGTGTGCACATAAGACATCTGTAAAGTCAGATAGAATCTTGATGCCCCCTCTTCGCCTCCCACATGCTACATACCCTGGGGAGTTTGAAAGTCTGTTTCAAACTCATACCAAGGAAGAAGAGCAGGATGACAGGAGAGTGAACATCAGAAAGAAGAGACTAAATGAGCTTTTCTGCTGGGATGAACCGAGCCCAGCAAGAGGAGGAGGAACGAGAAACTAGTTTCAGGCAGAGAATCAGTCCGTCTCCTCCATCCATCTTCAGTTTGTAATGATGTCACCTTGTCTAGGCTGCCTGTGGTGTCCAGAACCCTCTCCCTAGAATATTTCTGCTTAAGAAGAGCAAGAGAGCTTATTTTCTGGATGGCAGCAGGCTGTGTTCCTACATGTACAGGCTGGTGTAATGCCAGCCCTCATCTCCTACCCCTGCTGACCCTGAGATTTCCAACTCACACTGATGAGAGGGCTAAGAGTGATCCTCTGGGAAATACAGCCCTGAGAGCTGGGTTCATCTTTCAGTGCCTGACCTAGCTTTCCCTCACCCCACCACCACCACCTCTGCTGGCTGCTCTTCTCTGTGAGAAATGGTACTTCCTTCCTCCCTTCTATGGGTTTCCTAGTTCCTTACTCCCCAAAGCCTTAGCCCTGACCTTATGCTCCTTCCTAGGACTGAGTTAAGGAAGGAGCAGGGCCCCTCTAGTACCTTGTCCCTGTGAGACAGTTTAGTTAATCTTTTTGTCACATCACAAAGAACGTACAGACAGAGGTGCCTCCCTAAGAGCTGAGAGCGGAGTATGCTAGTGAAAATGCTACAGGTGCCTTGGAAACACGCAATGTCTGGTGGGGCTGGCTGGTCAGTTTTGCAATTTTAGTTTAGACATGAAAAAGAGACTTATGGCCAGCTGGGTGGTGGTGGCACAGGCCTTTAATCCCAGCACTCGGGAAGCTGAGGCAGGTGAATCTGTGAGTTTTAGGCCAGCTTGGTTGACAGAGTAGGTTCCAAGAGAGCCAGGGCTACACAGTGAACCCCTGTCTCAAAAACTAGAGAGGGGGAGAGAGAGACAGACAGACAGACAGACTGACAGACTGACTGACTGAAGGTAAAGTGTCAGTTCCAGGTTAAAAAAATAAAAACCAACCTGAGGCAATGCCTGGGAAAACAAGTGTTGGCTACAGGAATTAGTCTCCTATCCTTAGGAGTCCTGATCCTCTACTGAGATGGCCACTCCTTGACTCTCAGCATCCTCAGTTCCATCAGTATTAAAAAGTATGTACTCTGACCCAGAAGACTGAAAAGACAAAGGTGTATAGTGTGTTCACATTGCACAATTACAGGAAATGACCTGTGGATGGAGCAAGATTTCTGTTGCAGCCTTTTAGAAGAAATGACCTGCTGGGAGTTTCCCCAAGCACCATGCCAGTCTCTCTCTGCCCCTGACCCCAGCAGGGAGGCTCAGCATAAATACCAGCCTCCTCTCACTGACAGCCACAGCCACCCATCTCTGCCCATCAGACATCAGGTGAGGGACAAACCTATGCACAGATACTTAGTGTGTGCTGGGTTTCAGCAAGTGTGCTTTCCTCCCAAGGGAATTCCTCACTTTCATTCACCGGGTGTGGGATTTGTGCCGGCTGAGGGGGCACAATGCTTCTTGCTGAATCAGAGGCTCCTGGAGGGAGTGGTGATCTCTGCTCCTGCAGCTTCATCAGAGCTGCCTGCTGCCTTCATAAACAGTTCAGCAGGCAGGATGGGGTCAGAACTGAGACCTTGTGGCTCTGAGCGGGGTCCTGCTGTGAGGTCTCCAGGGGCCACTGCTAGGACACTACTGAACATCAGTAAGACAGAACAACCAGGGTGTCTGTGGATGAGACACCCGAGAAGGAGGCGCCAGACTGTGGGCGTCTCCTTCAGCCTGTCCTTTCATTTCAGCAGGATGAAGCTTCTCACTGGACTCATTTTCTGCTCCTTGGTCCTGGGAGTCAGCAGTGAAAGCTGGTTTTCATTCCTTAGCGAGGCTTACCATGGTAAGGCTTTGGGGGCAGAGAGGCACAGCCTCTAGGGGTCTCCTGAGTGTTGGGAGAATTCCTGCAGATTCCGGAGTGTTAGCACCTAGCTTTGATCTGCCTTTTGTGATTGCTAGCTCCTGTCTCTGGTACCCTCTGTTTGAAGTCTTATCTGAGAGTTTCCTAAGGGGTTTAAAGCCTATGCAAACTTGGTTAGGACCAAGCCAAAACACTGTGGTATTCCTTTACTGAGAATTTGCATTTGGCATTGTCCCTTTAGGGGGCTTAGATAAGAGGTTTTGGTAAATGGAATTGACTTACTAAGGTGTAAATTGTATAACAATAAAAGGGCCCTTTGCTAAGCTACAGTGGTTCAGTCCAGAGAGATGAATCCACCTTGCAGTTGGAAAAGGCTAAGATTCATCCTTGAGGTGCTTCTGTGTCTTCATTCCATGGACCCTCATTAACACCACCTGTTATACAACACCCGAGCATTCAGAAGAGCTGGACTCACTGTCCTGCTTGTCAGGATGGACCAGGGACTCTGGCAAGACTTCCTGAAATGCACTGCATACAGCAGGGGGCAGAGCAGAGATCACAACCTAGCTGTGCTTTTCAATGTTTATTACATATGTCAACAAAAACAATGTCATTGTTCTAAGTCTTAACTCGGTAATTTCTAGATGGCCTCAGACAAGTGTAAATAGTACTGAACTCCAGTTCACAATATTATCTGTCCTCATGGAGCAAAGCGTCTGCCCCCAACAGATCTGCCACAGTAGAAAACGATTCCCTGATGCACTAACATCGCAATCACTACTGTGTACGCACTGAACACCACATGGCGGTGAGCAGTCCCATGCTCGGGCCACTGAACCATGACCAACTTCTCCCAAGAGACGACTGTGGTTGACAAACTGAGGTCACAGAGCCACAAGAGTCAAGTGCCAAGGTGGAGATGGTGGCAAGAGCAACTGCAGCAGCATGGCAGGTTCTGTTCCTGGCATGGTTTGAGGTATCCCTTTTCCTTCTGTGGCAAAGTCCTCTGAAGTTTCCGGAGCAGGATTCCACTTGGTCAAAATGATACCATGTCCTGACAGATCTCCCACTAGGCCTGCTGTGACCAGAGGAACCGGTCACACTTCTCAAGCATGGCTTGTATCAGCGCTCTGAAATTCCACAGAAGGAAACAAGCAAATTCAGTTGTCCTAGTTCATTCTTAATAGCAAAGCAAAAACTCTAAAGACTAAAGAGGACTCAAAACACTGTGATAAAAGACAAAGGCTGAAACCAGCAGAGAGCTGGGAACATCATCATTCGGGAACTGGAATGTTGCCAGGCATAGATGAGGTCTCGGGTTCAATGCCCAGTGTTGGGAAACAAGGAAGTGATCAACAAAATGAACAAGCAATCTGGAATGGGAGAAAGTACATGCAAATCCTACCTGGTAAGAGGCATCTAGATATTTAGAATATGGTGGAATTCCACAGCTAAATTAGCAACCTGACTCTAAAATGGCAATAGACTTAGCTATTTCTCCAAGGATGATTTCAAAGCTGGTAAGCACAAATATTTATTCAGCATCACTACCAGTTGAGAAGCTCTTCTCAAATCTAAAACCTCTGAAACCTGGAATACTTCCGTTCCCAGGTCTATTAGCTATGGGATACTCAACCTATATTGTTATCATTCTACTTTGATGAGGCATCTGGGATGCTCCAACTCAACAGAAAGTCGAATGATGGTTGTCAGGGGTATGGGAATGAAGGCCTGTTTAATAGCTCTGGCCCATCAATTCAGAGGAAAATAGACTAGAAACTGGCTGCACAGCAACCTGCACACACTGAATCACTAAATGCTCTAGACAGCAAATTTCACATGCTTCTTTCTTTTCCTTTTTTTTAAGACAGGTAGTTGCCGGGTGGTGGTGGCGCACGCCTTTAATCCCAGCACTCGGGAGGCAGAAGCAGGCGGATCTCTGTGAGTTCGAGGCCAGCCTGGGCTACCAAGTGAGTCCCAGGAAAGGCGCAAAGCTACACAGAGAAACCCTGTCTCGAAAAAAAAAAGAAAAAAAAAAAAGACAGGTAGTTAATGCTATACAGACCAGGCTGGCCTTGAACTGCTGATCCTCCTGTCTCAGCCGCCCCAGAGCTGAGATTACAGGTGTGTGCCATCACACTTGCCTATGGTTTGTTGTTGTTGTTTTGTTTTTTTTTCTACAACATCTATTTTAACACAAATAGAAAAAGAAAAACTTGAGTAAAATAAGTGTGTGTGTGTGTGTGTGTGTGTGTGTGTGTGTGTGTGTGTGTGTGTAATATTTAAGTAAATAGTTTTGCTTTGTGTTTTAAACTGGATATTGAATTCAGGGCTTCATGCATGATAAATAAATGCTCTGCCACTGAGCCACATGCCCCGCCTCTTTTTACTTTTGAGATGGGATTTCACTAAATCCCCTGTGTCTTTGAACTCATGGTTCTCCTGCCTTGGCCTACTAGGCAGCAAGCTCACAGACCTGTATCAATACCATTCTTAGAGAACTGAGGATGTATGGTAGTGGGACACTCACACTAAGCTGAAGAGTACCTTGATCATGCTGATGAGTAAAATTTTACTTTGGCCTCTTCATTTAAACCATAATCAGCAGATGTGTCTCAGTCTCCTCGTGTGCTAGTGAGGGGTTGAGACTACATGATCTCTGCACTCCCATCTACCTACTGCTGAAAGTCTGTGCAAGCTTACATGTGCAGGCACCACAGACAGTGTACGGCAGCCTGGCATTACCTCTATCTTCTCTCAGTGATCCTCAGGATGTCACAGGCTCTGGTAAACTTTGCAGACAACTCAAGGGCTAGACCACATTCCTGTAGCAGTGACTAAGCCCGATCTGGGCCCATGGCCTTAGCTAACAAGAGTGCCACATTCTCCACATTGATGGGGGCAGGCCCATCACTGAGGCTCGCATTCAGTGACTCCTGAGGAATTGGCCTCGTGCTCTTGTTCTGTAGTAGATGTAGGAGAAGCTTCCATTCCTCCAAGGTCTCAGGGATCCACCCTGCACGCAGAAACACAGCGCGCATACAGGCTCCATACATGAAACATGAGAACTGTAAGAACACTTAAGACCAAACAAAGACATTCAAGAACAGAGTCTCTTCACTTCAGCACAAACCTTTCGAACACACAGAGTTAAAATCACCCTCAAGCTTCCTGGATATGCAACAAGGAACAAAACAGAATCAACCTCCACACTCCTGCAGCAATCAGGTTATAAAGGCTTACATAGATGAACAAATCACTACTTATGAATCATGTTAAGTATATGAAGGAAAATAATAAGGAACTATAGAACTGCAGGCGTGGTTCAGAGGATCTGAGAGAGGTTCTAACGTGGAAGCAACATCCAAACAAAAGCTAAAGAATGAGACAGGCAAGAGGGCACATGCATGCAGCCTGCATGACATCTAAACTTGGAGCAGGGGCAAGCGGGGAGGGGAGAGGGCTGCATTTCTGACCCAGGAGACATGGAAGATGATGGGACACAGCAAAGAACCTGCTGAGTTCAGGGGATATCTGAAAAGCTGCAGTGCATAAAGGTAAGAGTGTGCAGTGAGGATAAGACGATAGGTCAGGTCCACGAGAATACTTAACAGTATAAACTGTATATGAGTTCATACAAGGGCTTTCAGGGAGGAAGCTACATCGCTCAGTTGTTTCTAAGATTTAATTTACTGTTTTGTGTGTGTGTGTGCGCGCACGCACACGTGCGTGCATGTGTATATGAGAGCATGTGTGCAGGTGTCCACAGAAGCCAGAAAAGGGTGTTAAAGTCCATGGAACTAGGATTATAGGCAAGTATGATCCACCCAACATGAGGTGATGGAAACCACTCTGGCCTTCTGCAAGAACACCAAGTGTTCTTCCCTGCTCAGCCATCTTGCCAGCCCTCTTTTTCTTTTCTTTTCTTTTTTTTTTTTTTAAAGACTCATTCTAGCTGCTGAACAGAAAGAGCTTTAAAGTGGGCAAGAATGAAAGGCAGATGTGCAGTTCTGAGACTACCTATCCCAAGAGTTATCTCACAACAGCATGTAAAAACATGGAGTATAGTGCTTAAAACAGTAAGCAGTTGTTAAATAGAAACAAAACCATAATATACCAAAGACTAGGCAAGGCCCCCACAATTTTAACAGTTATCTAAACTATGTAGACAACCTCTAAAATGTTCAAATTTGCTTACTGAAAAGTGAGGAGAGACTTCCAGAACACCACAATGAGGAGTTACATTTGGAATTTACATACCATTGTCCCCTTCCATCAGGCTTATGTCATTCAGATACACAATGTTGGTGAAGGCCTCCCTCCTCCTCTCCAGCTCCAGACAGAGTGTCAGATATCCAGGCCAGAAACTTAAAGGGAACAAAGTTGATAAAAGGAGTAAGTGCAGTGGATGTGCATGAACTGCACTGACCATATTAGCCACATGTGGTCATTAAAGCTTAAGGTCAAAGTAAATAAAAATTAAAACTCAGAGGTAATTTGTTGTTGTTAAGACAATCCTTTTCTTTTTTCTTTTCTTTTTTTTTTTTTTTGGATTTTTTCAAAACAGTTTCACTGTGTAGGCCTGGCTATCCTGGAACTCCCTCTGTAGACCAGTTTGGCCTTGAACTCAAATTCTGCCTGTCTCTGCTTCCTAAGTGCTGGGATTAAAGGCATGCACTACCACCAGCTAGTGTTAAGTCTTTTTTAAAAGATTTATTTATTTAAAGGAACTTTAAATTTTTTATGGATATGGGTATTTTGCCTACACGAATGTCTGTGTATCAAATGTATGCCTGTTGTCCAACAAGCCCAGAAATAGGTAATGGATCCCCTGGAACTAGAGTTATAGAGTTGTGAGCTGCCATGTGAGTGCTGGGAATTGAACCTGGGTCCTCTAGAAAGTACTCTTCACCCCTCAGCCATCTTCCCAATCCCAAGATTTACTTAAGTATGTATTTATTCATTTATTTTTTGCTTTGTTGGTTTTTTTGTTTTGTTTTGAGATAGGGTTTCTCTGTGTAGCCCTTGAGTGTCTAGAACTCACTGTGTAGACCTGGTCTCAAACTCACAAAGATCCACCTCCCTCTGCCTCCCAAGTACTGGGATTAAAGGTGTGCACCACCCCAGCCCAGCCCAAGATTTATTTTTATATTTTGTATGTGCGTTTGTCTACATATATGTGCATAATGTACAAGCCTGGTGTTCCCAAAGGCCAGAAGAGGGCATCAGATCCCCTGGAACTAGAATTACATCAGTTGTGAATCTTCATGTAGATGCTAGGAATTGAACCTAGATCCTTAGCAAGAGCAACAAGTGTTCTTAATCACTGAGCCACCTCTCCAGTCCCTAAAAATCAGTTTTGTAGTTAAAAATTGGTGATTGCATGTGGCTAGTGGCTAGGAGGCAGTGCAGTAGAATATTTCCATTATCACACAAACTTCTACTCCAGAGCCTTGATCTAGTGCACTTAATAAATAAAGCTTTATGTACTTTGCAAATAGTTTCGTTTTTTAATTTTATTTGCTTTATGTCTATGGCTGCTTTGCCTGCATGTATACATATATGTACCACATGTGAGTCTGGTGCCTCGGGAGGCTGGAAGAGGATGTCAGATCCACTGGAATTGGAGCTACAGATGGTTGTGCTGAGAATTAAACCTGGATCCTCTGGAAGAAAAGCCAGTGCTCTTAACCCCTGAACCATATCGTTAGTCCCTCCTTTTTAAGTTTTACCATTCAATACAAAAAAAGAATGTTTGTCTCCAAATCTCATTCCATGGACTTTCTCCTTGGGGGGCTCCCTAATCACCAACCCCTCATCCTGTAATAATTCACACAATCTCTTCCTGTAGGATTTCCTTTCTCGTGGATGACACTAGGAATCATCTCAGGAGAGTCTAAAAGAGGGCCAGAGATAGTTCAGCAGGTTACGGCATTGCTGCCAACCTTGACAATCCAAGTCCTATCCCCGGGACCCGTAGGGCAGAGAAGAGAATAAACTCTAGAAGACTGTTCTCTGACCTCCACACAGACGACATGCATGCACCTGCCCCCTCCTCAAAATTAAATTAAAAATAAAACAAACTACTATTTATTATTTAAGTCCAAAGAGTATCTCATGATCTCACCACCTGCCACCAGTCTCATCCTTCATTATCAATGAATAAATAAGTACCACATAGTTGCCATTGCATGAATTCCCTCTAAGGGAAAAGAAAGACAAAGGTCCCTCTAAAAGACACTGTTTCAGGTGGAGCAGAAGTCAAGACTACCAGACAGTGACTGACCCTCTCATCAGTGGTGTCAGTTTTTCATCCTCCTGCTGCCTCCCTCAGCAGACCCTCCCCACTCCACAGCCTTCAGGGCTGACTCCCAATCTCCCTTCCTCCGGAGCCCTTCACCAGAAAACCTACTCTGATCTCCCCCTTCTTGCAAATCTTTTATCTATTCTAACTGGTGTGGAAACAATATGTAATGGCCTGAGAACTAACTGGCTCTAGCAACTGGGCAGAAGGAATACAAAGAACTCACATGGGCCATCCTCTCCTTACAATACAGGAATAAAATTTCAAAGAAAGATAATGGTTACTATCACTTAAAACATAGGGCTGGAGAGATGGCTCAGGAGTTAAGATCACTGGCTGAGCCAGGCAGTGGTGGCGCACACCTTTAATCCCAGCACTAGGGAGGCAGAGGCAGGCGGATCTCTGTGAGTTCGAGGCCAGCCTGGTCTATAAAGCGAGTTCCAGGAAAGGTGCAAAGTTACACAGAGAAACTCTGTCTCAAAAAAACAAAACAAAACAAAAAAAGATTGTTGGCTGCTCTTGCTGACGACCTGGGTTCCACTTAGCACCCACGTGGTGACTCACAACTGTCTATAACTCCAGTCCCAGCAAGTCTTGATGTCCTCTTCTGACCTCTGTAGTGCAGACATTCATGTAGGCAAAATGGCCATACACAGAAAGTAAAAACTATAGTGTTAAAAAAAAGTGCATTGATGTTTAAGTATCATATTGAATCCTTGCATAATAAAGCACACCAATGCTGGACCTTGACTAGAAGCTTATTTGTGGATCTCAACCTCCAGACCAGCATATGTAAACATCCTCACTTACCCATAGGACTTACAGATGTCAGTCATTTTCTCTTTGGTTGTAAAGTCTGCAGGAAGTTTAATCAGAAGAAGGATCAACTGACAATAACCCCAGGAAAGCAAGTGTGAATGTGGCCTATGAAATGAAAAAGTAAAGATAATTAGATAGGAAATCTCTAGAAAGTACTTTGTAGTCATCTAATGGGGAGACTACAGTTGAAGCGTATACCATTATTATAATTTCCAAATATTTCTATCTTGCTTTTTAAAAAATTAAAAATAGCTCCTTTTCTTATAACTTGCTCATTTCAAAATGAAAAAACAACAACTGTGGTGATATTTTATTTGTGCTGAAATGTGGTGATATTTTATTTGTGCTTTAATAAATAAAGCTTGCCTAGAGATCAGAGGAAAAAGGCCAGCCATTATAAGTAAAGAAGTCAGGGAGCTGTAGCACAGGTGTGTTCAAGGCCACACTAGGGAATGGAGGCAGGTGTGGTGACACACGCCTTTAATCCCAGTATTAAACATGCCTTTAATCCCAGTACTAACCACAGAGGTCTGGAGGTCTGTACAGACAGACAGAAAGTGACAGAGCTGTGTAGGAAGAGGAAGTGATGTAGCTGGGCTAAAAGAGCCAATAAGAGAACAGAACAGAAACATATAAACGTAAGTATACAGGAAGAAGCTTTCTTTGAAAGCTGCTGACTTGGCAAGGTGAGGTTAGCTCACAGTTTGCCCTATTCCTCAGATCTTTCTCTCAGACTTTAATCCAAATTTCTGGCTCCGTGTTATTTATTTATTAAGACCATTTAGAAATTCTTGTTACAAACAACAACAATAATAACAAAACAGAAATAGGGACTGGGGTGTAACTCAGTGACTGCCTAGCATGCAGGTACTAAATTTAATGCTACTACTGTACCGATTTAATTCAATTTAATCCTAATACCTTGATTCCATCACCCACAGCCACTGCTGTCTTCCTAGGGTTTTGCTGAGGAGTAAATCAAATAAAATAGGCATTTGGCAAGAGGCAGTGCTTTCAAAAGGCTTCCCTTAGAGGAGAATACAGGACTGTTTCCGAGTCATGTACTGGTGTTCATTTTTTCACAGATTCTATTTTTTAAATCCTCAGGGCACATTTTGTGGGAGCCCGTTCTCGGGTTCCTCATGGCTTTACCCAGCAGGTCCGCATAGAGGATGATTAGACCACGGGCCTAAGTGCAGGTGTCTGGGATGGTCTGCACTTGGCTGTGCTGGGGGAGGAGGTCTTTTGCTCCACCCCTTGGCATCTCTATAAAAACCCTGGGGCAGAGACAGTCGGGGCCGTTGGAATAGGTTCCAGGCCCTCTCGAGGCTATCCTTTATTTTCTATCTGTTTATTTCCGTGATATTCTCCGCAATAAATCCTTCTATCTAATATTTCCTGCTGCTCGCACTCAAGAAAACTCTGGGGAACTGTGGGGGTGGTTGGGTAAACGCCCCACAGAATGGCGCCACGAACAGGGACTAAAGAAAAAAAGGGCGCCTAAAAAAGGGGGGGACTAAATACAAATGAACGGGGACTAAAGAGAAAGTAATAGGGACTAAAGATAAAGGAAAATAATAGTTTTATTACAGAGTTTTTGGCGAAAGTGCTGAGTTCAGCCCTGCCAGTGGATAATGCATGCCGGTGTTATGGAAAATATATATTTTATATATATTATTGAGAGGCAGGGGTTTTATCCTCGAGAGAAAAGGAAAGCGGACTGGAAGGATGTCCGATGCTGCAGCGAAATTCTCTTCTGTCAAAATTTTCTACCTTCTATCCCTTTCTCAATTTCTATCTGAAAAATAAGTATAAGGCATAGGGTAGTAATATAGTATAGGAAAAACTTAGAAGTTTAAGATTGTGTAGGAAAAAATAAGGCAACTAGACAGAAAAACTCTCCAATATTCTAACTTTGGGGGCTATGAATGCAAACTGGGGGGAAAAATCTTTCTTTGGGCTTTACGGGTAGTAAAAAAGCTCTTCTTTGAGCTTATGGGGAAGAAAAAGTTTCCTATGGAAGCTTTTTGACCTGGGGGACAGCTGAAATGCTAAGTCCAAGCGGCAGGAGAAAGTGATTTCTCCCTGAGGCAAAAATGGGGGTGTAAAAAGCCAAAAAGTTTAAAGTTGGGAAGTTTTGGGAAAAGTTGGTCTTCCTCCTGGGGAAAAAATCTTTCTCAAACTATAAAGCTTTTCTTGGAAAATTTTGGGGGAAAATCTCTCTAAAAAAGCCTTAATCTTTCTCAAACTAAAAGCTCTCAAACTTAAAAACTAAAGCCTTTAACTTTCTCAGAAGGACAAAAATTAGAATCACCTGAAGATATTAGTATGGGGACCACCTGTGATTAGCTCAAAGGGAAAACAACAAACCTCTTAAGACAGCAAAACCTAAGTTCTCTTTCAAGCTTTAAAAATCCTCCCTGCAATGCAGGAGGCAGGGACAAGTTTCTAAAAACCTTTTCTAAGCTGTCTCTTCAAACTAGTAGAAGACAGTGGGTCAGAGTACCCTGAGGGAAACACTTGGGAGAGTGTGGGTAAAGAGCTACAGAGAGCCCAAAAGGGCCTGAAACTCTACCTGAGAAAAGCAAAAAAGCCAAGCTTTTCAGTTATGCCCAGCTGAGGCAACAAGGGTTTTGTTTCTGAGCATTTCAGAATGAAAAGGTGCTCCTAATTGTCCTAATGCAAAGATCCCCTGAAGCATGCAAATTGTTAGCATTGTATCCTTGCTTCTGACCAAAAACCCAGAGGCGACTGGCCAGCGTCTCTGAGTTGGAGTGCATTTCAGGGATACTAGGGTTCCTGCAGTGGTAAACTTCCTGGAGCACAGAGCTGAGGCAGGAAGGTGCAGGACCCAGGGGAAGATTGCTAATGAACAACCAAAGCTAAAGCCGGTGGGAACGGCACAGTTATCCACTTTCCTACAAGTCCCGGGTTGATAGATCCACAGCTGTAAAAAGGAAATCTGAGAAAAAGCTTTCCTATCAGAGTAAGGACCTTTCTGGGAAAACAGTAAAGCTGAACTGTGTCTGAAGCAGTTGTGCTGCTGAGTCAGAACGCTGTCTGGGGAAAGAGCCCAGCCAGGGCAGAACAGAACTATCCAGGAGTAAAGCTTTCTTTTCTGTCAGAGAAAGCATCTCTTTGAGAAAAGCTTTGTTTCAACTAACTCCTGGTGAAATGAGGGAGTGTAGCCCTGAGGGGTGATTGCCTCTGGCATAAGCTCTGTCCTTGAGCACCCAGACAAGCAAATGCAACCCACTGGGGGACTGGGCCAGGTGAAGGCCTGATGAAGCAAAACACCTGTCCTAATGGGGGTTTAGAAATGGCAAAAACCTCCCTTGCTAGATTTTCAGTCTGTACGCAAACCACACAGACCCCAAAAACAGAAACAGACAAAAAGCCCCTACCTTCAGTGGCTGGGAAAGCCATCTCTGTAGTGTCGGAAACTGTTTCTGGGGTAGAGGGGATAAACTGAGACCAAACTGGGAACTGTCTGGGAGAAAGACTCTGAAGAAACAGAAGGGACATAATCCTCCCCAGAAATATATGACCTGAAAAAGCTGCTAGAATTTAAGGCAGATTTGGGGAGAGAAAAAAGCCCCTACCTCCAAAGGCAGCTAGCAGAGGAACAGAGCCACAGACAGATACCTGAAGCTCTGCATCTGGGGAAGGGAGGAACAAGCAAAATGAGAATAAAATCAGTGGGAGAAAATCTCTCTGAAGGAGCTATGGAAAAGCTGTTGTATGTGATCTTGTTTTTCACTGACTGGCTAAGACAAACACAAGCCCCGAGGAAAGTTGCTATCAGAAATTGCCCACCTCAATGCGCGCTAACGAGGCAGGTGCAGTTCTGATCTGGGGCCAGTGTTAAATGAAGGAGAAACACCTGTTGAAGCCAGCTGAGGAGAGAATGGCAATCTCCCAACGTGGCAAAGCTGAAAATGTAAAATGCTTGTTCAAATCTCCCATTGCAAAAGCAAAGAACTTTGTTCAAACCTCCCGGGCAAGAATTTGTAAGCAAGTCTGGTAAAAGAGAACCAGTTGACTCTCAGACCCCAAAAAAATACGGGAAATGACTGATATAAGGGAAATGATATAAAGGGACTGATATTATTATGGACTGATATAAGGGAAATGCATTCTGGGAAAGGTAGTTTTTCCGCTAAAGATGGCGACATTGCCCTGAAACACTTTTTGTCAGCTCGAAAATACGTTCCTGGTAAACTTAAAATACAGCTTTTAAAAGAATAAGGAGGAAAAACATCTAAGAGTTTAAGTGTCAGTTCCAATGAAAAATTGAAAGGATACGGAGCTAGGTGCTTCTTGGTTTGGGGCTCCATTGGTAAAATCCCTTATTTACCCTAATAGCTGTGCAAAGTTTTTACAGTAGTTGGAAGACAAAAAGCTACCTTTAAGAGCAAACAAGCCACTTTAAAATCCTTAAGAAAGCAAGAGAGCAGTTTATACACTGAATGTTTTCTTAGATATGAAGAAACTTATGTTGCAATTAAAAAAGTTCTTTGCCTTTTGAACAAACTGCCTGCAATGAGTGATTCCTTTGCAAATCTAATTAAGGAGACAAGGAAACAGGCATTCAAAAAGAAATGACTGCTTTATAGATGGGAAACAAACTTCAGAAAATCTAGCTGTCTTACAAAAGAGTTGCTTCACCTGAAAGTTCCTTGTAAAAAAATCAATGATAAATATTACAGCTGCTAATAATATCAGGAGTTAAAGCTAATGAAGTGAAAATACTAAATCCTGAAAATGCTTTGAGTAAGCTAATGAAGGATATGTTTCATGAAAGAACATCTATGTTCTTGACTCCTTTGATTAGTAAAAATATTGGAACTAACAACAACCAAGTCAAAATGTTTCAATATATTCAAGATGCTATTCCACAAAAGAAAGCTGCCATGCTTTGTGGGCCATATTAGAGCTCTCTCCAATCTTCCTGGTCCTTTAGCTGAGGGTAATGCGAAATGGAAAGATCCCTGCTCGGGATTATGGAAGGGTCCCGATCCTGTGTTAATATGGGGTCGAGGACATGTTTGTGTTTTTTCACAAGAGGAGAATGAAGCTCGGTGGTTACCGGAGCGTCTGGTAAG